ACAAAAGAATAAATATTTTTTTTATTGATATTACTATATCCATTTTATAAAAAGTTTTTATTTTGTATTAATAATTTTTATTTAATTTAATCATATAAAGAACTATTTAATATATGGATTGAAAAATATATATATAGTAAATAAAACATATAATAGAATTTTGTAGTGTACATAAGTATAATATTATAAATGAAAGTTTTTACAAAATATTTTTATTTTTCAGTCTTAAGAAAAATAATTCTGCAAATATATTATAATGTTCATAAAAAATTATAAGAAAAAATATTATATATTTAAGAACAAAAATATTTTAATATATAAAAATCAGCGTGTATATTGCAAAAATATTCATATATAAATAATTAAAATAATTATTATTAATAATTAAAAATTGTATATAAATGATTTTCTTATTGCGTATTATTAATATATTGAATATTTTTATATTGTGAAAGATATCAATAAGAATTTAGAGAGCTCATAAACTATTTGATGTTATACGTAATAATATGGTTACTAATATTGAGAAATTACCAACTTTACGTATATACAAAATTTTTTATATAATAATTTATGAAAAAAATACGTATATATATAAATAAATAATGCTATTACATTATATTTTAAAATATGAGCGAATTATGTGCTTCAACGTTTTTATTTTTCTTATCTCTCCATAATTCCCATATAAAAATATAAACAACATTTTTCTATATATATATATAAATATTATATCATAAATAATAATAAATTTGATATATGTAATATATATATATATTTTTTTAATATTTATTATCTACAAACTAGATGAAAACATATTTTAATATGTTCATATATAGCCCCTTATATGCTTTATTATTTCCAAATAATTTCTAAGTATATATAACTATTTTTCATATTTACATTTACTCTTTAGGACATTCCAAAAAAGATAATGGTTGTAAATATTTGTATATAAAATTTACAAATTTATGTATTATTTCATAGAAAAAATATATTTTGAATAAGAATATTCATATAATAAAGGAGAAACATTCTATGTTCAGTTTATGTATATACCATTTTTAAAAGAAATATACAGTAAAACAAAGCTTTCTTAGAATACACATAAATTTAAAGCAAACATAATTTTTTGAATTTCTTAAAATATATTATAATGAATTAAAATACTTGTGTTGTTAATAAAATATAAAAAATGTTATTATTGTTTAACAAATAAATAGAGAAATAATGAATTAAAAATATATAACAAAGTACTGATATTATCGGAATTATGTATTTTCAAATAACGTAACATCAGTTCAAATTTTAAAACATAAAAAATAATTTTATCACATATAAATAATTAATATTATATATTAGACAATAATCTTT